TCTGCATAGTAGTTCTCTTTCCTAATAAACTTACGATTTGATTCGCAGTTTCGTAATGCTGAGTCATCAGGTGCCGATTAACGCGTCATCTTTTTCAGCATGCAGATCTTTGTGAAAACCCTAACCGGGAAAACAATTACACTCGAGGTTGAGGCCTCTGACACCATCGAAAATGTGAAGGCAAAGATTCAAGGACAAGGAAGGAATCCCACCGGATCAGCAACGGCTAATCTTTGCCGGTCAGTTTTTTGATCTGTTTGATATTACGGAATCTTGGATGACGGAAATGTTTTACAGGAAAGCAGTTGGAAGATGGACGCACTCTTTCTGATTACAATATCCAGAAAGAATCAACTCTTCACCTTGTTCTCCGTCTTCGAGGAGGAATGCAGATCTTCGTGAAGACTCTTGACTGGAAAGACCATCACCCTTGAAGTTGAGGCCTCTGACACAATCGAGAATGTGAAAGGCCAAGATTCAGGACAAGGAAGGAATCCCACCAGATCAGCAGCGACTTATTTTTGCCGGTCAGTCCTTTGAATTATAACAATGTGGGGGGGGGGAAGAAGAGTAACGTGACTACTTGAGCTTCCTCCGCAAATGCTTAGGGCGCAGACAGATGAAGGGCAGCGGTTGCCCTAGAATTCTATGGGTGGAAATAGTGTTGCGTGAAACGGGGTGGGCGTTTCAAGATGGGTCCGAAGTGGGCGAGCTTGTGAATCTGAAAAAAACGGTGCACTAGGGCACGGTAGTCAAAGGCTGGGCGTCGTGAGACGGACGACAGGTTGCAGGGATTTGTTGTTCAGTCAGGTTATGTTCTTGCTTGCGGTAGGGTTCAACAGAATACCTCTCACCGGATATCTACTAGGTCCAGCAAGCGGAAAGCGGATTATGCGTGTAAGAAATTAGGGGCGCGAGAAGCTAGAATGGGACCAGAACAAACTTCAACGGGTCCCTCGCACATGGTGTCCTGACACCTGTAGACAATAAAGCGCCCACATTGAGTACGCATTGCAAATAAGGTTCACGGTACTAGAGGCTCGACGCCTTACAAACAAAAAACAAACAAAAAAACAAAAAAAGAAAAACAAAAAAAAACAAACAACAAAACACTCAAAAAGAAAAACAACAAAAACAAATAACCAAAACATAGCACTTCCGTTGCCTATACCTCTGAACAAGGCTTAGCCTGTACGTGAAGCACTGCCTTCCGTGCGGAAACCCTATACTCCAGCTACTCTTGTCTTCATGTGCCGTCTCGTGAAATAGGCCCTTTCCAGACCAGGGGGTGGTTCATGCACAGCGTGTGGCCTACGTGGCCTCCCCCAAACTTTTAAGCGCCAAACTTCGTATACGGATTTCAACAAGCAAGCTCTGTGTACATACAAATGGTACGCATATGGTATGAGGAGAGGGTGTAGTGGATTGTAAAAAAGAATCGTAATAATTCGGTGCGTAACTATGCTGTTCTGTAGATTGATCTAAGGTTTTCAGGCAAGCAACTAGAAGATGGCCGTACCCTTTCCGACTACAACATCCAAAAGGAGTCAACCCTTCATCTCGTGCTGCGTCTTCGAGGAGGAATGCAAATTTTCGTAAAGACATTGACTGGAAAGACCATTACTTTGGAAGTGGAAGCCTCTGATACAATCGAGAATGTGAAGGCGAAAATTCAAGGACAAGGAAGGAATTCCACCAGATCAGCAAAGACTCATCTTTGCAGGTGAGCAGCCTAACTACGCCTGTAACACCTTTGTGTTGCATCGTAATAGGCACTTATACTCGAATTTACAGGAAAGCAGCTCGAAGACGGTCGTACCCTTTCTGATTACAACATCCAGAAGGAATCAACTCTCCACCTGGTGCTCCGTCTCAGAGGAGGAATGCAAATCTTCGTCAAGACATTGACCGGAAAGACCATTACCCTTGAAGTTGAGGCGTCTGATACCATTGAGAATGTGAAAGCGAAAATTCAGGACAAGGAAGGAATTCCACCTGATCAACAGCGTCTTATTTTCGCAGGTAATAATCTTTGGTGTACAACGGCGTCTCGCTTGACTGTGTAGGTCTTCGCTGAATGAGTTCAAAGTATTTTTTCTTTTAGGAAAGCAACTTGAAGATGGGCGTAC